TTTAATTTTAAAATATTTAAATAATATAATTAATAATAAAAATTTTAAAATATTTTTTAAAATAATGTAATTCATTTTAGTATTTTGAATTTTGATTCTATTATACAGAATGTGTTGGAGATGGTATTGATATAAATTTGATATGAAACGATATCCTATGATCCATTTCCAATATCATCAATGGAGCTTGTGACAACTGTTCTTGGTTTCTTGTTATTGTATGCACTTATTCAAGCTACTTTCTCAGTTTTTGGCTTCGGCCGATCCAAGAACCTACCTCCAGGTCCAACCCCATTTCCGATCATCGGAAACCTCCACTTGCTCGGCGACCAACCACATCAGACCCTAACCAAGCTAGCCAAAATCCATGGTCCCATCATGTTCTTACAACTTGGTCGCATCAACACACTCGTCATCTCCTCCGCAGCAGCCGCCAAACAAGTCCTCCAAAAACAAGACCTTGCTTTCTCCATCCGCCATATCCCCGACGCTGTCCATGCCCACAACCACTCTCGAGGATCCGTCGCCTGGCTCCCCGTCGGCACCCTGTGGCGGACACTTAGAAAGATCCTCAAGAACAACATCTTCTCCGGTGACTCCCTTGACGCCAACCAACACTTGCGGAACCAGAAAGTGCAAGAGCTTGTAGCATACTGCCGGAAAGCCAGCCAGTCGAATGAGTCGGTGGATATCGGCCGAGCTGCTTTCAGAACCAGCTTGAATCTACTATCGAATACGGTTTTCTCCAAGGATTTGACGGACCCATTTGAGGATTCTGGTAAAGAATTTAAGGAGGTGGTTGGGAACATCAACTTAGAGGCTGGGAAGCCAAATCTGGTGGACTTCTTTCCGGTGCTGAAAAGGATCGATCCACAAGGGATCAAAAGGAGAATGACTCGTTATTTTGGGAAGGTTCTTGATATTTTTGAGGAGTTGAGCAAAGAGAGATCGGTGATGAAGCAAGATGATGATGTATTGGACAAGTGCTTAAAAATCTGTCAAGAGATACCGGACGAGATCAATAGAACACAAATCATGGGCATGTTTTTGGTACGTAACTTGTTTTGTTTTCTTGTACAATTATGTCTTTTGTTTCCCGGCTTAGATTGAAACGTGAACGCAGTCAATTTGTGAGAAGTCGAGAGGTTCCAAATCATATGTAATCACATGTGATACAACACATGTAATCATGTTGTTTTGATCGGTCATAGAGGAGACGACTTTTCCGTGACATGGTCATGTTGACGAAGTCGTCCATGTCCTTTTTTGAACTATTGTATTGGATATGGTTACGGGTTGCAAAAAGTGACTCAACCCCAACCCATAATTGGTATATTGGGTTGAGATTTTCAATCCATTTAAATAAATGGGTCAATCTGTCTATAACTCATTTAAATAAATGAGTTGGGTTTTGTTTGATTTTTTACCTGTTTCAACTTGTTTACAATCTGTTTCCAACTCGTTTAAAATATTATATAACTTTTTTTTATACTTAATATTATATCTAATATTCTAATATTTAATTTTATTGTATTATTAATTAAAAATTCTACCATCATGAGATGAAAGTCTAAATACCAATCGCCTCTATTACTCTTAATCATCATGAAACCTTAAGAAAAATTCTTTAGTCCGTTACTCCATTATCGTCTCCAAAGTCCAATCCAACTCTCAAGTCTGTTGTCCACCTCTCGCCCTCTCATTCTTGGCTCTCTCTCCGTGTATCGTTTTTCTTCCTCTCGAGAGTGAACTTGGGGTTGGAGAAAGTGGAAGTCGAGTTACTTAGAATTTAATATTTTTCAATTTATTTTGAACAATATTTGTTGTGGTTGTATTTTATTCAAACTTTGAACAATTTGTTTGTAGTTGTGGTTGTGTTGTGTTTTACTTAAAAAAAACAGTCTACTCCTTTTTTTATTTAAAATTTTAAAATTAAATGGTTCAACCTATTAATTTAATAGGTTGGGTTAAAAAATTCGTAATCAGATCAACCCGTTGTCAACCCATATAGGTAACAGGTTGAGTTGGATTGAAAAATCTCAACCCATTTAATTAATTTGGTTGAGTTGGGTTGAAATTTTCAACCTATTTAATAAATGGATTGAAACCAAACCCAACCCAACTTGTTGCCATAGGGGCGGACCTGGTGTGGTGGCATGGGTGGCACGTACCACCGTATTATTTCTCCACCGAAGGGAAAAAAAATTTAGGTTTGTTAACGGTGTTATCGTATCGTTTTGAAAGGTGCTACCGTATTTTCCTGAAATTCAAATAGTGCCACCGTATGAAAAATTTTCTAGGTCCGTCCCTTCCCACCCATATGGCATTGGTTCTATTGGAAATTCTCGCTTTCTCCTAACTTAACTGATTTCTATCATTATCTCGCTCTTTCTTTCTTTATGCAAAATATATTTTTTATTCTAAGATTTATAAAAAAATGTTAATTGTGATAAATATTTCATATAAAACTAATATTATTAAAGTAAATTACGTTTTTAGTCCTTATGATTCGTTGAAAATTTCTATTTTCATCCTTATAGTTTTGAAATTATGAATTTTCATTTCTATGGTTTATAATTCTTTACCTTTTTCGTCCTTATGATTTAAAGTTTATTTATTTTTTTTGTCCCTAAGGTTTACAATATATTTCTATTTTACTCCTTTATGCTTAAAAGTAGTGTTTTGGCCTTAGGGACAAAAATAGAAATGAATTGCAAACTATAAGGAGAAAAATCGAAATTTCAAAACCATAAGGATGAAATCCACAATTTTTAACAAACCACAGGGACGAAAACCATACTCATATTATTATTTTTAGGGATCGCGTAATTTCAAGAAAGACAACACAAACGGCTTTATTTTATTTTGTGTACTTTCACACGAGATCTCATACTTTATGTTTAGGAAAAGTAAAAGTAATTAAAAACAATGAATAATTTCTAAACATGTTATCCGGTTTGCAAATATAGGATTTGTTTGTTGCGGGCACTGATACCACTTCCAATACAGTAGAATGGGCCATGGCAGAACTACTGCTTAAACCATACATTATGGCGAAAGCCAAAAAGGAGCTGGAAGAAGTTATTGGTACAGGTAAAATCATAGAAGAGAAAGATCTCCTGAAGCTGCCATACTTATGGTGCATTGTGAAAGAGACTTTAAGGATTCACCCGCCTATCCCCTTTTTGCTTCCTCGAAAAGTTGAGAACGAGGTGAAACTCAATGACTACATTGTTCCTAAGGGTACACAGGTGCTTGTAAATGCATGGGCCATTGGACGAGACCCATCCATTTGGGAGGACTCATTGGAGTTCAAGCCAGAAAGATTTCTTACCTCGGGGCTTGAGGTTCGAGGCCAAGATTTTGAGTTGATTCCGTTCGGTGCTGGACGAAGAATATGCCCTGGTTTACCACTAGCAATTCGTATGATTCCTACGATGTTGGGGTCATTACTCAATTGTTTCAATTGGAATATTGACAACGGAATCGGGCATGAGGGATTGGACATGAGAGAGAAGTTCGGACTCACTTTACAGAAGGCCAACCCTCTTTGTGTTGTTCCAACGCCATTGAATTAGCGTTCGTTCATTTGCACCATCCTCTTTCTTCTTATGAGCCATCAGGATATTTCTCAAAGAAAATTCATGAGACTCGTAATTGTTTTTTTCTCTCAACTAGTTATGTACCCGTGCTATGCGGTGGGATTGTGAAATTTGAATAAATGTAAGCGAGCATACCGGTTACGGATTAACATTTACATTCAAAATTGTCAAATCATAAGCTTTATTGATTGTCGTAGTATTAATTGTTTTCTTTATTCTCTTAATTTCTAATGAATTTTCTAACGTTTTTAGATGTTACTGTTCCAAGAATAGTAACCAAAAAGAAAACACAATGAACAAAATCAAAACATCTAAAAGTAAATCACAGATCTATAATCCGACCACTGTAAGCTCAATAAACAACAAATGAAACACCAAATTACCATCTTGATGAAAGATCGCATTCGGAAAAAGAGGGAGTAATTAAAATTAGTGCAAAAGAGGGATAACTAAAATGAATACAAATAGGACAACTACAATGAGATAACTCTGATACACTACCAAACAAACCACTGTTTCCGGTGGATTCTGCCGCAGGAAAAAGTGGCGTCGGTGAATTTTTTTTCGACGGAATCAGCGAGGGATTTTACCATTTTCCGGCGGATCACGGCCTTCGGAAATTTCTTGCTGGTTTATTTATAAAATCGTGAATAAATTAAGAAAATGTTTAAGCCTTTTCTCAAAAAAATAATAATTTAATTTACCGCCGGAAACATTTCTCGACGGAAGAATAAAATTATTTTTAAAATAATATATCTTTATATTTAAAAATTTACCGACGAATAAATCCGCCGGAAATTCGCAAAAGTATATAAATATTAATTTAAGATTTATTTTAAACAAATATATATTTTTATATTTGAAAAAGTACCGGCAGGGAAATCCGCCGGAAAAGTATATAAATATTAATTTTAATTTTTTTAAAATTAATATTTAAAACTTGTATTTAAACCTGTAAATCTATACAATATTAAAAAAGAAACTAAAAAGGCGAAATAGAACTAAATATCATACCTTAAAACTCAATACGTTCCACGAAAGCCCAATACGTTCCACAAAAGCCCAATACGTTCCACGAAAGCCCAATACGGTTCATTAAAGTCCAATCGTTCCATTAAATCCCAATACGGTTCATTAAAGCCTAATACGATCCATTAAAACCAATACGGTCCATTAAAGGCCAATACGGTTCATTAAACCCCAATACGTTTCATTCGGGTGCGTTTGGTACGTTGGACAGGGTGGGACAGGACAGGACATAACACAATTGTCCTATGTTTGGTGTGGTTTTATGTGGGACTAACAAGAACAAACTAGAACAAGGGTGGGACAAGGTTGTCCACCCTTTACCCATGGAACTAAGTAGAACAAGAAACTTTTTACCACTTTGCCCTCAAAAACCTCATACGCATACCTTCCTTCTTCCCCTTCACTCTCCTCTCCTCCATCGCTTCCACCGCTCAACCGGCGACCGGTGACGGCGACTTCAGATGGCCGCCGCTGCTGCTTCTCCCGATGG